CCTCTGCATGCCTACTCAGAAGTAAAACTTATAGCATCTAGTGGTACTTACTCCCAGGTGAGCCTAGGGAATAAAAAAGAATAAGCTTTGCTTATTTGCCACCAGTGATTTTTCTAAGTGTTGTATCTGTCAAGTTGTTAAAATCTCTCTTCCTACTGCTCCTCTTTCCAAAAGAAAGTGCATGAAAAGAAGCTGGCCAAAACCTGAACCTAATATCTGTGTCACTGGGCCTCCTTGTCCATTGCAACTTTTCTTAGGAGCTTTATAGGAACTATGTATGTGGCTGAACTCCAGCCTCAAACAGGTTCACCACCACGGAATACCATGAATAATTCCTGTGTTTGTGACTTACAATCCTTGCATACCTACACAGAAAACAGCCCTTAATTTTTTTTAAAGTGGGAAGTAGGCAGACCATAATTTTGCTGACAAAGCTCAGGGTCCCATTAAAGGTGGTGGTGGGTTTTTTTTTTTTTTTTGAGTATCCATTTTGGCAGGAATGTGTACATATAGTGCATATACAGTCTATATACCTGTATACTTTGCCCCTCTCTCAAAAAATTAACTCTTAGAAATCTCATCTTAAACATCCAGACTTCCAACCTGACAGATCAGTTTATCCCATGAATGGTATCCTTGGAAGTGTTGCATGTCTTGTGGGAAACTTGCAAAACTGGGGGGATACTTAGGACACCTTATTCTCCATGAAATCATCCTGCTTTGAAAGGGGTGAATGAAGCCCCTCTTTTTGCCAGTAAGGAGCACCCTGGTTTTTGCAAGCATTTGAGAGATCTGTACCAACTAGCAACATTTCCCAGCATTCAAGCCTAACTTTCAGAGAGGTGTTTCATATAGTGAACATAGACCAGGGCTGAGAAATATGTGGCCCTCCAATTGTTGCTGGGCTACAACTCTTATCATCTCCGATCATTGGCCATGCTGCCTGGGGCTGATGGGAGTTATAGTCCAATAATATGAGGTGGTTGCAAATTCATCAGTCCTATCATACACTAGCAGAGAAGATTACTGAAAGTTAGAACAGGAAACCAGGATGGTGTGGCAGTTAGAAATTTGGTCTGAAATTTGAGAGTTTTTAGGTTCAAGTTTCCATTTGGCCATGAAGATCATTGGGTGACTTTGGGCCAGTTACTGACTGACTCTCAGCTTAACCTACTTTACAGGATTGTTGTTGTAAGGATAAAATGAAATTGAGTGTGTCATTTAAACTGACTTAGGTTCCTTACTAAAGGAAAAAAGTCAGGCTATAAATGTAATAAAAATAAATAAGTAAATAAATAAGAATAGACATGTACCCAAGACTCCTGGAAGTTAGATTACTGTGATAGTAGTAAGGCATCAATCCTATAGACTTTCACTGACTACCACTGCAGGGGAGTCTGGGGAGAAATAAGCAATTGCTTCTCTGGTGATTGTGGGTAACTGCTGTTCACGTGATAGAAACTGAATGGGTTAGATCCAGATTTACACTGGATCAACTGTGTTGGTGAAAATGAACTTCCCTGCTTTTTCCTTCCCACTGCAGCCCCTTCATCCCCTTGAAAACACTACACAATTGTGATCAAGTTTAAGCAACACAAACCTTATTAGCACCTTTGTGTTGTATGACCCAGTGCAGAGAGTCAGAAAACCCTGCAGAATGAGGTGAGCTATGCTGTTGCAGATGCGTGTGTGAAGGGGTCCCCCCAGACTGAGTAGAGTCGCTTTCTACAAACAGAGCCCTTCCTCTCATAGAACGGTCCTTCTTGTAGAAGGCAGATCCAGGATCCAACCAAAAGATGCTAGGATTCCACTTTACCTCGAATTGTTGTTCTCTGATCTGGAAACATTCCACTTAGTTCCAGATCTGTTTGAGCAGGTGGTGGTTACTTCACTGATGATGGAAGCGCATTCTGTGCATGTTGAGAGACTCTCTGTTTCATTATTGCTTTATTTCTTATTTCCACAGTTGCAATCTTGGTTTGAAGATTTCCCATGCAGACTGAGCATTAGTTCTGCAGCTAGAATCAAACTCTAGTTCTGAAAAGAACAGCACTTTCCTTTAAAAGAAGTCAAGTTTGTGTGAATACATATTTTATGTATGATGCCACATTTTTGTATCCTCCTGGAATCTCCTGGGAGGCCACAAGATTCTTCAGAGTCCCAGTGCGTAGATCCTATAGCACTGGAGCTGGGAGTCTCCACCCCACTGGGCTCACATCCAGCCTGGAAAGAGCTGCACTAGCTGGCTCCTCCTGGAGGATGCAACTGAGCATCCGAGAGGGAAAAAGGGGAGCCCTGGGGGCAAAAAGAGAAGGAGCCTGGAGCCCTTCTCCCCGATGTGAGATCTAGGTAGCTGAAAATAGCCATCTAGAGGAATACCTTGCATGAAGCACAGCAGTGGAATTTGTTACACTTTGTGCCAGACATGGGATGCTTTTAGGCCTCCGACTTCAGAGCTTATAAGCATCTGCTGTGGGGATAGTATTGTGCCCTAAATAAATGATGTTTTCAAGCAGGAGATTCCCAAACCATTTAAGATCTTGTGTTTACTTCATGGCTTCATCATAGAAGATCATGCACAACTGATACGCATCATGTAGAAAGATATGAACTTGCCAAGTTATGTGCAGTCAGCTATAGGTTATTGGGATTGTATAGACTGCATGCAGTCTTAATAACTGAAATGGCACAATCTGCCGATGTGCAAAAAAATAGGTATTGGGTCAAAAGATTCACTCCCCCAGCTATGAAAAAGACTATGCAAGGCAACCCCATTTCCTTCTACCTTCTCTCCTGACATACTTCACCTTTTCTCACGGTTATTTTGATGAAGTGGATAAAAAACACAGAACATTTACTAATTCTATAGAAGTATATGCACTTTGGGGTATGAATATGAAATTCAAAGTGTAATCTGAGTCCTCATATGGATGTTTAAGGGCTTCTCTTCATGAAAGATTGAACCTGCTGTTTTATTGTGACTTCTGTCTTCACAGGAATAATGTATGTATGGAGGGAAAATGTATACATGGAGGGGTTTGTTCCTGCAGTTTGTATTTCTCTGCTGTTCTCTATATTCTATTAAACAAGCAAAAGTTGATTTTTTGGCAATGTTGATTTTCTTGTGAGCCGTCCAGAGACTCAGAGTGATTGGACAGCCTAGAAATATCCCAAATAGATAAATAAATAAAGTGGTTTAGTGGCAAATGGATTTGCAACAATACATAAGACTTTTGTTCCAGTTTGCTGCAATTTAAAATTTAATACTAGAGTTTCCTCACTCTAAAACACACACACACACACACACACACACACACACACGAGTTGTGGAAAACATGGAAGAAGCTCTGGAGCAGGATGTTTTGAAAAGGCCCCACAAAATTCCATGAGTGAGAAATCAGGAATACAGAAGATGTGCCTTGTTGAAAAAAACCTTAAGACTAAGTAGTGTGATCTTTATGCAACAGAGTCTTACCTTTTACTATATGATTACTAATATATCTATATATGAACAGCTGCAGTACACTAATAGCTTTTTTTGTATGAGGCATTTATTGTGCATTCTTGATTCCTTACTCAGTGTAGTATGTGGATTCCTTACACAGTGTCTTCTCCTTCAGGGCCTCTCACAAGTTTTGGAACCTTTTATGTTTTATTTTTAGGATCAAGGAAAGTCTGGAACTATTTAGAAATTCTGTTATGAGAAGCTTGTGCTGGGTAATGTTCCACTTTCTTTCTGTAGCTCTTCATACTGCCACTTCTAGTGTTGATCTAGAGGGTCCCCCAACCCTCCAGAACAGAACTTCAAGGGACACAAGGGTCTGCAGGGTGCAGGAAGGTCTGCCAAAAGACACCTCCCATTCCTTCAGTGTTTAATGAATCTCTGTCCATCTAAAGTCTGGACTCAAGCCACTGAAAATCATGCAGACCTGAACTAAGTATATCAACAGACAAAATATGGCTAAATTGTCAGAAAATGAAGCCTTGAACATACGTTTTCAAGAGGGTTGTGCAGTCAGATATTACGAGTTTTCTCTTCCTTTGTCACATGTTATGTGCCACTTGCCCTCCTTTTCTATTTTCATCTGCCACCTGTGGAAGCGTTTGCAATGTGGCACAAGCATTACTGGGTGCCTGTGATCGCAGAGGGTCCGCTGGGTCCCCTAACAACAGAGGACAGCTGTCTGCGTAACGGTAGATGGCAAAGAACGTGGTGGCAATGACAGGGGAACCACAGGTGGAAATGACGCCAGCTGAGGGAAGGCAGGACGGGTGGCTGAGGGGCTTCTGTGAGTGTAGCCTAGCAGCTAAGCCTTGTTTTCTCCTCTTCTTGGCCACTGTGGGCAGCTGGAAGGCTTCCCACTATTAGGAAGAGCAAAGGAATGAAGATTTGCTTGGGCTAGTTTACGCAAAATGCCCAAATATAGACATTTCTCCTGACTCTGAGAAGCAGAGTTCAGCTGTCTGGAGTCAGCCAGACCCTCAGCAGTGATTGACTTCTGTGCTGAGCTGGCACGCAACCCTCTGAACTGGCAGCGACAGGAGGGAGAAGATACTCTTCCCTGGCACTGTGCCCAGCACACTTGAGAGTGCATGGTGGGCTTGTGTTTGTACACAAACAGAAATGTCTTATCCCAGCTACAGCTGATCTTAAGTTTCTGCCATGCTCTGGCCAGTGTTTATATAAGATCACATTTTCACTTACTTTCTGGTAAGTGGATGGAGACCTAAAACTAGGAAAGCTGGATTCAATAGTCTGACCAATCATCCAACCACGGGAAAGCCATTATAGCTGTCCACCTGTAAAATGGGAATAGTCATGATCCGTGAAGCAGCTTTTAGGGTACGTGAAACCCAATTCTGATGAGCAATACCAGGTGCATAGGATGGGTTCCAGCTGACATAGCCACAAAGCCATCCCTTTCTGCGCTTACTTGCAGCCGCTTAGTCTAAAGCTATTCAGTGCCCCACCTCTGAATGTTCCATTACTCACAATCAGCAGCATTTTTGAGCTTTATTAATGAAGGTGTGGGTGATTTTGTACATACTGCAATTGGAATTTATCTTTGCAAGTTACAGAGCTGGAAACTAAAACTGCAGCAGTGCCTGCATCTGAGCTCCTTTGCTCAAGAGATTTGTTTCTTGTGTTGTTTCTCTTCTACTTCTTTCCCAAATGTGCTAAAAATGTAAAACCAGTATCACTTTCTTATTCAGGAGTGGGGCTTTGCTCCCTATTATAAAAACATGCCTTTCAAAACAGAATGAAGACAATTCTCTTGGTCGTGCTACATAAATTCCCTTATGGATGCTAACGAGGAAGTCTACGTTCACAGTTTGCGTGTTCATTTGGCAAAGGAAAGGGGGCTTGTTGAGCAGCAAAGATCTCTGCAAACACCCTAATCTAGTACTCATCCCACAGAGAAGGATGGACACCGACATATGCAGCCTGTGAGAGAGCGAGAGGCCTACCTGCTCCTTGGCATCTATCATGCTTCAGAGGAACCATGAGTGGCTGTCCAGATTTGGAAGTTGATTTAAATAGACAAGAGAGTGAATCTCTTTCTAGTTGTTTGTGTCTGCACCACTTCGTCTCTGTGCAGACATGCTTTGGCCGTTTGTGTGCAAATTTACAATCTCCCCTCATAGTTATATTAGATATATCCTTTCATATATTAAACTCTTGTAGCCATACAAATGTATCATTTTGTTTTTTAATGTACAGTCTGAGTCTAAGTAATTAAGCTCAATACTTGGAACTACGCTGAGTTTCATCTAACTGGTTTGTGATTGGTGCTATCCACTATCCATTCCTATGCACAGGAGCGCTGAGGTTTTCCCTGGAAACTGTGCCTTTAATCAGAATAACACATCCCTGATTATGTGGGCTGGGCTTTTGCATATTCCTCTGTATGTGAAATGTGGAGGTCAGCCTCTATGTCCTTGCCCAATTCATGCCTGGCATCTGTGTCACCTACTTCATTCAACTAGAGGGGAAGCAACTTGTATGCCTTAGCTCTGAGACACAAACAGCTATTCAGCAATTACCACCACACCAATGATGGCAGTAGTCACTCTTCCTCTCTCAGTCAAACTTCACATGTCCCCTTTGTGGTATATTTGCTGCTTCAAAGCTGCTTCCTTGTGGTTGAGCCAAATGCCCAATCAGATGGATGTTCCTCCACATCACATGGGTAGCCTGAATTATGTGGGCACTTCTCTTGCTAGTGTCCCTCCACCAGGATCACTAGTGCTGCTATGGGAAATACTGTTGTGATCCAGGCTACCCATGCAATGCTGAATATCTGTATGTTACCACTACAGTATGAGATCCAGCCACAAGGATGTATTTTGAGGCTATTATGCTGTAAATGTAATGTACAAATAGGTCTTCACTGACCTGGAAAGAGGATTGACAGGGAGACGAAGGTGGCACATAGGTTGGCTGGAGGCCATAGCATCCTCTCAGTCCACCTGCCATGCCTTGTTGACCAGCGTTTAGAAGACAGTGACCTACAGGGCATACATGCCTCCCCCTTTGGAGTCCCTCTTTCCCTTTAAATCAGCATCAACAGAAACCTTCTGGTCCCCAAAAGTCTTTTCCTATGCCTTCAGCAAATGAGATCTCTGGCATTTATGAAGCAGGAGTGTCCTGTTATCTCCTAGGTTATTGGTGCTTTGCTTGTGGTGATACAGTTGAAGCTAAGTGCTAGAAGGATGTCAGTAACATAACACCCACAGCAGTCATTGCTTTCTTCTGTCACATCTTGAACCTGAACAACCTTAAATTGCTCTTTCCTTCCCAACAGGTCTTTAAGATTAGAGGTCCCAAAGCTAGCTGAGATAATGCTGCTCATTTCAGAGGTGCAAGCCCCACACAGTCCCACCCCACAGCCACATGATTCATTTGGTTTCATATCTGCTCAGCCACATGCTCGCTTACAGCTAGGTTCATGATACCACAAAAAGCCCTGAATACACAAAATAGAGAGACACATATAGAGCTTTGGGCACCTCGTCTGGGAAAAAATGAAATCTTGGCCTGTGCAAGTCTGTCTTTGCACTATTGGAGGAAAAGAATCCTTGAGATCACAGGGACATTGAATCATTGAATTGGACCCAGTGATTTCTCCCCAAATCCTCTGCCTTCATTATATTCCAAGCAGGGTGACAGTAGTGCTGATAGTTAGACCTAGCAGCAAATGGCAAGACCGTGGTGCTAGTTCCTTTGGACTCTTTCTGTGCTGGAGATTGGTCCAGTCTCTTTCTCAAGGTGCTGCTGCTCCAGCGTGACTTGGCTCCTGGATATATTCAAGTGGCAAGTGATTGCAGTGGTGTTGTCTGGTGATTGGCAAGATAAGCAGAGATGCTCCACATACAGACTCCTTCAAGACATAGCATATCTGCCGCTTTACTCTCTAAACTACCACAAGGAAAGCAGGACAACCACCCAGGCGCACTCTGATCTTTTGCAGACCCCTCCTTTCAGGAAAAAAGACGTTTCAGGATTAAAAAACACTAAAAATAAATATGGCTTCTTCCTGACATAATGCCTCCTTGGCAGCCCATTCATTTCATCCATCTGATTCAATCCCATAGAGAACGCTGCTCATCTGGGACTGGTGCAGGGCACGCTTGTGCTCCTGCTGAGTTTTTCTCATGTAAACAGTCACCCGAGAAACAAACACAGTGATTCAGCCTTGGTAACTTCGTCCTTCCAGGAAGTCTAGCTTCCATTCACTATTGGAGCAACTTGGGAACTTCCACCTGCCAAAATAAAAAGGGTGCTTGTTAGTGCAAGATATAAAATCAAAGTGAACCACTGGTGATGCAAATAGCAACTTCCAGGAGGACAATTTTCATCAGACCTATGGAGGGTTGGAGGAATGGGTTAAACTCCACTCACCCACAGCTGCTATTTACATTACCAATGTAAGGTATGCATTAATTGCATTTGGGCAATTACCATTGCTACTTAGGCTGTTTCCTGATGGATGTTTGTTTGTAAATTAAAATCTCTTAATTCTGGAAATTAAAATATCTTAATTCTTCTCAAAAGATTGTGCATTCTAGAAGCAGTGTGCCACAACCTAAGAAGCCTTGGTCCTAGATTGCAACCTTCCTCACTTTTAAAGGTACAGGTACCTGAATAAGGGCCTCCAAGGATGATCTTAATAATCATGCAGGTTCATGCAGGTACAGGTGATAATTTTGGTACCCAGGTCCCAGACCATTTGGGGCTTTTAGGTTAAAACCAGTAGTGTGAATTGGGTCTGGTAGTGTTCTGCGAAGCCAGATGGTGTACTCACTTCCCCATATGCACATGAGGGGCAAAACAGATACTTGTATGCATTGTACATATTTTAGAGTACTCATATACACATTGACTCAGTTCAGATATCACACCAAATTCTGGCTTGCACTAAACAAAGTTTAGAACCCAAACCATAGTTTGAGCTTCCAAATGTACAATAGGCAAACCATAGTTTATATGTATTTGTCTGCTTTCACTTTTCTTTCTTTCAGATCCAAAACATCACTCATCTTGCTTTGCCTGATGATATAGCAGTCTCTGGAGGTGGAGCTACAGCTGAAAGTATAGTCTGCCAGTTTAGGTATCTCTCCAAACCATACTTTACATAAATCACTGTTTAAAAATCCAGTACAAACTCCAGTTTCTGATTCTTGTTTCCTCATCAAAGCATGGTTTGTCAATTCAGACATTATATCAAGCCATATTTAGGATACCTTTACTGAGGTTTGGTGCAATGCCTGAATAAGGCTAACATTCCTTATGTCTATATAGAAGCAATGTGTACAAAGTGTGTAATGCATCCTATTTCAAGCATATTTTTGTCTTTAGTTCACATATTGAAAAGATGGTTGATGCACTGGCATTTCATTATATGTGCATTTTACAAATAATATGCAGACATTTGGATGTGTTTCATATATTACTGTGTACATATTTTATGCAGATTATTTCAGAGCAAGAGAAGCACTGAATATAAAATGCCCTTCAGGTGGCTGTTTTTCATGGACAGGGGATCAGCTACAAGTTCTGGTGGCTGCCACACTTGCTTCTAATTCTTTTCCCTTTCTCTCACTGATGCTTTAAAACAGTGATTCCCAAAGTGGGCAGCACTGCCCCCTTGGGGGGGTGTGGAAAGATCCTGGGGAAGGTGATTGGTTGTTTTAAATTTGCAGTAGAGTAATAGACCTAATACAAAGAGAAAGGATCAAGAAAGGGGGCAGCAGCCCAGAAAAAATTGGAGACCACTGCTTTAAACTATCCTCTGGAATCAGCTCTATAATAACAGCATCCAGTTATCAGCCCTGCAAAGACTCAAAATGGCTTGCCTGCTAGCTGCTTTTTGCAGTCATTCTGGCACCAGGAAGACCTTTCATTTTTTCAGGCTTTCAATCTATGTTACCATTAAGCTGCCTTTATTCTCTGTGACTTGCGCTACGGTGTTATACTTTTATTTATACTCGTTTGATTATTGTTGCATTCTTCTTCTTCTTGCATTTTACACTTCTTGTTGTGAACCACCCTGGAACTTTGTTATAAATACTTTGGAAAGATAAATTAATACAATATGTAGGTCTCCAAAGAGTCTCACTGTGGTTCCAGAATGCTTTAGGCAGAACTGAGCAAGCAGCCAGAGTTATGCCCCTTCAGCACTCAAGTGATGTAGAAAATATCCTTCTGTCAATCATAGTCGTCCTGGGGGTGGGAGGTGAGTGGGAGAGGTGTGATGGTTGTATGTAAGTGCTAATGCTAGGCTCACATGATCAAAAGTGTAGCTTTTAATGAACCCATCAATACTCCCCAAGGACTCATCCCAGAATGACCTGCACATTTGCCCTTGACTTGCCTTCTTCAGCTGTTTAACGTTGCTGGAGCGAATGGCAGCCAACAGCTGGTCTCTGGAGTTCTTCTCCTGTGGAGGAAGAGCTTTCTCCACCATCTTCCTCTGAGTTGCCGGAGAGAGAGACAACCTTAGATTCTCATTGATCAGAGGAGGGGCTAGGGGAGGGGCCAGAGGAGGTGGAGGAGGAGGAGGGGCATTTGGGGCCCCACCTTTCTTTATGGGAACTTTAGGGGAAGACTGAGGGGAGGGTTTGGGAGAAGGTTTAGATGGCCCAGCTGGTACGCCTACTGCCTTTGGCACCTCAAGAAAGTCCTTCTTCTCTGCCTTCTCTTGAGCCTGCTTCTGCTCCTGCAGGCGTTTCTGTCGCTGCTTGTCCATGTTTCTGCTCAGGAGGTTTGTGACTGTCATGCGGGGCCCGGCTAGCTCAAAGTGGTAACCCAGTTTCAGGAGGGTTGTGTTCTCCTTGAGCAAACTGGCTATCTCCATCTCTGTCTTCCCTCCACAGATGTGCCTCTGGTTGTGAAAGCGCAGCTCTGTCAGGGTGTTGTTCTGCAGCAGTGCACGGAAGATGGCTAGGATCCCTTTGCCTGTGATGTGATTGGAGTCAAGGTTTATGCTAGTCAATGTTTTGTTTGACTTCAGCATTATGGCGATGGCAAACGCAACGTGATCATCAGCACGTGTGTTGGCCAGGGCAAAGACCTTGGCGATGGTGTTGAACTCGAGCGCCTCAGCAAAGCGCACCAGGATCTCATTGGTGATGCAGTCAGAGTTATTGACATTGATCTCTACCATCTCAGGGTCGTTATTCTTAACTTTTTCCAAGGGTTCATCAAAGATGCTGGTGGCTTCCTCTTCCTTGCTTTGGCTAGAAGAATTGTCTGTGGATTTCACGGGGCTGCTATCAGTGGTCTCCTTTAATGTTTTCCCTTGCTCTGACATAGTGGGTTTTGCCTCGGAAGTCCCTTTCTTGTCTGTTCGTGATTTCTCCTCACTCTCAGCTTTTGAGTCTGTCTTTGAAGCTAAACCCTTTTCTCCTTTTTTCTCCAGTTCTTGCTTATCTTCCCTCTTTCTATCTGAACCTTGCTTTGAAGCTGAACCTTTTTCTCCTGTTTTGTCACATTCCTTTTTATCTTCCTTCTTTCCATCTTTCTCAGTCCCTCTTTTCAACCCTGCTGCCTTCTCTTCTTTTCCTTTCTCTTCTTCTGACTTGTGCTTTGATGTTGTGCTTTTTTCTTCCCCTCTCAGTTTGGCTGCTGTAGTTCTGTCCACCACTGTGGCTTTGTCTTTGTCCTTGGAGATCTTCTTTTCATCCTTAGAAGGCTTTTCTTCTTTGGCTTGTCCAGTTTTCTTTTTATTATCAGGTTCACCCTTTCCCTTCTGGTGTGTTTTCAGAACATTTTTGAATTTTTCACCCTCTTTTTCCAGAGCAGACACTCTACTTTTTCCAAGATCTCTGCTTTGAGTTTCTTTATGTTTTCCTTCAAGAAATTTTGCTTCTTTCTTCTTCTCTGCTGCTTTCTCTTCCTAGAGAAAATATATTATAAACATCCATAAGAAAATAGCTTGATGATATTGCAGCAAACTCAATTTGCTCCTGGATAGTGTTATGTTTGCAATATTTACTAGTATAAAATGACAATGCATGAAAACTAGAGCTAAGGTTCTACAATTGCCATTTAAAGAAGAACCCTTTCTTTCAAAGCTGAGGTCAAGGTCAGCTGCAGAGCAAAGCTTCAGTCATGCTCACCATCTTTGTGGACAGAATAGTGGGATTCATACTAGAGAACCAACTTTTCATTAAAACCCTGTCCGCTGAGGAAAACCTAACAAGGCAACATGAATCTTAAACTATTATTCTAATATAGAAAATTTGCTTGGACACAGAGAACTAAAGTGAGCATGGGGTATTCCAAAGCAGGGAGCAGAGCCCAGATGAAGCTGCCTGAGTGCCACTGGCACTGCCCAGGAACCACGCGACTAAGTGAGAGCATAGCAGCAGCCACCCAAAACCAGATAGGAAACTGAAAGGGGACAGCAGGAATGTTCAGATGGTCTAGCTATTAATGAAACGCAAGGGGAATTGAATGATGTGCAAAATAAAAACACAGCCTTCAAAATCAGAGCAAAGACTGTGTGCGTCATAGAGGGAAGCAGAAAAGAGAAACATTTTTCTCTGCTGTTCTTGAGAAATAGATGATCTATCTGCAATCCAAACTGAGACCAAAAGTTGACTGGCACCGAAGAAATAAAAAGTTGCTTGATTCTGCCCCAAAGCAGCTTACACAAATGATCCTCAAGAAAATTAACTTATTCATGTACCCCTTCCTCCTGGAATGTGGCTTCTGCTTGCTGCCACACTCTTGATTGGAAGGTTATGGGTGATGTAGTCCGACACATCTGGAGAACACCAGAGGAGGAGTCTGGCATGTACAGCCCTGCATGCAGAGTTTTTAAAATGCAAATTACATCAGCCATATGTGTGGATGGGAGGGAAACTGATAATTATGAGGATCGCAACAGACTTGGAAATTGCTACAGAGTGACCTCCTCACCTGGTGCCAACCTTCTCATCTTTTAGGCATTGGGTTAAGGTCATCCTTTACTCCCAGGCATTTAATGGCATATGATGTGACACATCAGATGTTTCAACAGTTCTAGTTTTTATTGAAATTGCTTTAGCTGTTTAAACTGTTTCACATTCTGTACATTACATTTTATTGTGTCTGTGTTTTGTATTTTGTGAATTGTGAGCCGTCCCAAGGCTGTGTAGCAATGAGGACGGCATATAAAAACTTTAAATAAATAAATAAATAAATAAATTGTTGTGAACCTCCCAAAGGGCTTTGACTATTGGGCAGTATTGATGTAAAATAAATAAATAAAACTTCACACTTTCCTCTTTTGCTGTGGTCCTGAGGAAAATGCATTTTCTGAAGCTGGTATTTGCTATGTGGGGGTGGGGGTGGGATCCCATATCCATATAAATAGGTCAGATGAACTTTAGTTTTGTCCTTGGAAATCAGTCTTTGGTTTGAAACCTCTTTGGACTCTTTCAAAACAGCCAGTGATGATGGTACAAACAATATTCTTTTAAAGGACAAACCTTAATTCTTCTGGCATACAGGCTGAAAATCAGAGAGTTCTCGTAACACACAGCTCATTCTGGTGAGGAGTTAACCTATAGAATAAACTTGTCCATTGGATTTCATGCAGAATGTCTACAAACACCACATTGGGCTGTCTTGTAAACAAAGATCTGAGCCAAAATGTTTGATCTGATTTCGCTGGCTTCCATGGACGCTCATGTGAGACCAGTGTTTTTGGAATCTCACGCACTGCTGCAATGTGCCCTCAAACTAAAGGCCATCCACAGAAAAGGCAATCTCCTCTGTGACTTTGCACTAAGAAAGCCAAAAGAAGGCAAAAATTATGGGAAAGAAACATCAAGATAACATTAGCAACTTCGTATAAAGAACATTTATATAAAATGTTCTATAGATGGTATTTGTCGCCAAGCCGATTAGCTAAGATGTTTCCAAATATGTCAAATAGATGGTGGAAATGTAAGCATAAAGTGAGTACTTTCTATCACATATAGTGGACTTGTGATAATGTGAAAAAGTATTGGATTAAAATACATAGATGGATGGAGGAAATATTATAGAAACCCTGTGCTTTTAAACCTGAAGTTTTCTTGTTAGGCATTATACTGGAAGATGTCAACAGACAGGAAATGTACTTGATGTTGCACTTAATCACAGCGGCAAGGATTGCATTTGCTCAATATTGGAAAAATGAGGAGCTACCCACTGATGAACTGATTGTTAAGAAAGATCTTGGATGGTGCAGAAATGGATAGATTGACTTTATCATTGAAGGAGAAAGAGGATACTGACTTCTATCGAACTTGGGACTCTTTCTATAATTGGCTGGAGAAACGGGACTTGGGATAATTTGAATTTGATTTTAGAATGTTAAAAAAAATGTGTGTGTGCATATATATAGATATATATAGATATATGTAGTAGGGGGTTGACCCAGTGAATCCGATGTATGTGATATTTGATGTTTTTATTAGTGTTAGTTTAAAACTTTTAATAATATAAAAGAAAGCCAAAAGAAATAGAGCTGGTGATTTAGTGCAGCTTGTCTTCAGACCATGTTTACACATGGAAATAAACATACTCCATTTTGGGAAAGCAAGGATCTCTGTATTTAGTTAAGAGATTACTAGGCTTAATTGAATTCTAAATATCTAGAGCAGCTCTTTCTGGTCAGGAATGCAAACAAACCAACAAAATAGTCAACTGGACCAGGCCAATTTTTCCTGCTAGTCCAGAAAGGCAGCGTAAGTCTCAACAAGAAATGCAACAGCATTCTTTTTGTGCCTTCCTGGCTGGAAAACATAGGCTTACCTGCTCCCCCTGAACCTTGGGGACTCTCAAATGTGGTGGACAAACCCTCATTTTTGCTGGTTCTCTCATAAGGCAGAGAAAGGTAGTTGACTCAGGTGACAAATGCTCTGTCTGTGTGTGTGTGTGAGAGTGTGTGTGAGAGAGAGAGAGAGCGTGAGCATAGTGTTGGAGCAAAGAACAGTGTGCGCCACACAACATGTACTGCAACTCCAAAGCTAGCCTGCTACCTTGAGATGTAGTGGACAAAGCTAACCTGTCACCGGCAATGTAGTAAATTTCAGGGGCTAGTCCAGTTGCCCTCTGTACATGAAATGTCCTGGTGCATTCCACCATCTTGTCTTCTGTCTCAGCTTTCAAAATGTCTTGGGGCAGTACAGATTTCTCAGAACATAATGACTATAAGGGGCCTCTAAGGAGTGCAGTGAGTTCTTCCAAGGGGACTAGGCCTGCAACAGAACCTTCATAAGGCCACAGATGGCTCCAATTGTGTGGTGAGGCAACATGTTGTCTAGCGTAAGGAGAAAGACCCTGTCAAACAACACTCTTTGAGCACACTTTGAAGTTCTCTTGTGGTTGCCTGCTAGGTGACCATTGCTGATAATGGCTGTATCTGCTGAGACTCACAGCTGCTGAGCTTCCCCTAAAGTGCATCTTAGACTTTTGCAGGCAATTGAACATCTGACAAAATTTGGGCCCCTCCATTCCTGCTTTAAAAAGCAAACAGACTAATGGCTGTACTAACAAATGACATATTTAGCATCACTTCCAGTTGGTGCTAACTAACCATCGTTCATCTGGTAAGCAGTTCTTCACTCAAAGATAGTTTATTCATTAAATTGAACTGGCAATTCAGAATGGGAGTAAAATAAAGATCTACACAATAAAAATAACTAAAGAAAATATCAAATATTAAACACACTAAAAAGTCATCAGAAAAATTAGTAAACAGAGCAAAAGGTTAAAGATTAAGAGTAAACCTTCTTCTTCTGGCTAGAAGAGGAAGGTCTTAAGTCGGCTGCAGAGGGAGCAATCCTCTAGCACCTAGACAGCTTCTGAGGGTCCACTGGATCTTTTGGATTCCCAGTTCCAGTAAATGAATAAAGTGTAGCTCTGGCAACCTCAGCAAACAGCATTCCATTAATATGATCATGGATGCTCCAAGGCATTTTTATTGTGATTAGTGAGCTGATAAATATTTGCAACTGTGAGAATGGTGGGCAGCCATTTGCAAGTGTTCCTGGAAGCTGTTCTTGAACATGGGCAGCAACTGCTTACATAAGCAAGAAAGAGTAATGTTTGGAGAGAATAACTTCCCAGACCCAACTCAACATTTTAGTGGCTGCCCTTTTAAACCCTAAAAGAATTAGGACCACACTTCTGGAAAGACTGCCCTCTTCCATATATTCCTTCCCAATTGCTAAGATTATCTTCAAAATATCTTACTTTTAAACGCCCCCTTAGGAATGAACTAAAGGGCAGGTCAGAGGTACAGTGATGTGCCTTGTGGAATGACTTCTGGAATGACTCATGGACTATACTAGGGACCTCCGTGGACTGAGGTTTCTGACCACTGTGCTAAAGCTTGGTGGTCCAAGAGGCGGATGATTTCTGTAGTCCCTCAGCAGTACTTGGAAAATACAGTGACTGCCCATGATATAGAAGCTGGCCAGTCTTGTTCTACACCGCGGTTACAGGCTCAGGAGGAGCCTAGTTTGTGTTTTCATCTGGAAAACGTATATGCAGCTCCTTAAGCTTGAAGAGCCCTCTCCAGACTTGTGCCTTGCAATCCTGCCACTCACACCCCTCCACCATTCCTTGGCTATGTAAAATGCCTTGCAAGTAACTATGTCTTGCAGCTATTGGCATGACCTTTTCATGCTCTGCCACTGACCTTTCTTTAAAAAGAACCAGCCTGGTGCTTGCGCTGATTAATCACAAATGTTTTGACAAACTAAAATGCAGCTAGTTCCTCCTAAACACACTAAAATGAACATTGCTGCTGCTTGCTGGCTATAGCTGTCCTCAGCCCCACTCAAATGTTTCCTTAAAAGGAAAAGGAGACTTGGGAACTTCTTGTTTTGGAATCTGGGCATTGAGGCACTAATGATC